CGCTGCAGCTTGCTGCTGTATGCTTAATGCATGTATGCTTTGTACGCTGCTGCTGTTAATGAATATCTGTTCCTAATTTGCAGATTTGTTGCCATCAGGTCAAAGATTCTACATCAGATGGTTATGTTCTTCTTTGCTGTTTTTTCTTTGTTCAGTGTGCATAAGACATAAAACAAGATCTCCAGCTAATATTGGTATATGTTCCTTTACCAATCAGATATGTTGGTTCTTTTCTTCTGGTAACTAATCTAACCACATGTCTGTTTGTTTTGCACTAATCCTACATGTCTGTTTGATTGGCACTAATTCTATGTATCTAATCTGGCCATTGACTTAATAAGCCGGCCCATAGTTTGGGCATGCAGTTCTGTTTCCAGAATTTGGAATTGTACTAATAATTCTGTCTAACCCAGCACCACGGGATTGAACTCGTGAGGCTGTGTGGATCTTGCGATTTACTCTTGTCTTTAAGAGTGATTCCTTTCTTGTTTTCTCTTTTAATCTTTCTTATTATCATTTTTGTTTCATGGCTGTAGCACATAATGCCAAGTGACTGCAATTCTGAAAGATGGTACGAGGGGATTCTTTGTCATCATCTTATTATTGTGATATGTAAGCTGATTCTTGCACTCAAACCTTGAAAAAGTTGTTTCTTTCAGTTGTTTCCTCCTGCTCATGAAGACATACTAATTCGTCCTGTATGAAGTAGAGAGTGATTAGACTCTGAGATAAGATCTTATTCCACGCTCGTTGTTGGAACAAAAATGAGCTGGGTAATGTTTCCGGTACATTTATTGACCTTTGGCTACACATACGTGTTCAGCCAGTGAGTATAATGGTGAAGTCATGACATCTGATAATTTTGGTTATCAGAATTATAATAGATTTGTTACTGTCTTATTTCATTTTTCTTCTATTAGAATAAGGCTATGCCTAAATTGAGAGTGTTCATACTTCGCGACAATGCATTTAGCTACTGGTTAAATACCATGGTATAAGCATACTGATGATTAATGGCCTCTATCTACTATAAAGCAGAGATCCGCATGGCATAGTTATCTTATTAATGTAGACAAAATGCATTAATTCACTTTATTACACTATTTGTTACTTTCTTTTTAGTATATCATCTCTCACACGTTTCTACACATTTTTCAGTGGCGTGTTAAATCTGTCATGATCTTGCACTATATATTCTTATTTTAGGCCCGTTTGATAGCAAAGTATTTTCTAAGTATTTTAAGAATACTACAATTTTTGAGATTACCATAGTTTTATTTACAATGAGCTGTTTGGTTGCCCCTAACAACTGTGGTTTTCATACTAGTTTTTTCTCTGCATAAAAAAAGAACCCCAAACCTCTTTTTAAAAAACAAAGTTGCTGAGTGCTTAAATGCAACGGCTAGGCAACACAATTTATAGCGTTGTGCGGCAACAGCCAAACAGGTTCTATGTATTGTGAATACTCCAAAATGCTTCATTTTAGTAAAACCATGGTATCTCATACTATAGGCAAAATTACTGAAATTTTTGATACTTTGGCTTATATAGTACTATGCTATCAAACACAGCCTTAGTGTTATAGATCATACTGTATGGAGCCGATATTCCTCTCAAACTTCTTTTCTTCATCATATGTAGTTCCAAGAATCTGGGTTCTAACTCCATCCTCCTCCAGTATGGATATGGTAGATGCTCATTAATTTCCTTATGTTATTGTAACATATGTAAATCTATTAAGATGACATGATTAATGCACTGTTCTTAAGTACTTCCCTACCAATAATAAGCTGGCAGTTTCATCTTTTCGCTTAACCTTTGGCCTCGTAGGTGTAAACTTGATAAATAAAAACTGTGAGTGTAGTAATATAATTTTAAATTTACGAGCTTGTGTTTTTTACCAGCAAATGATATGTTATTCTTTCCATGTAAATTGCAATCTCTATAAATCATCATGTACAAATAATAACTAAAGTATATAGCAGATTTAACAATATTCATAGGATCTAAGGATGAATTTGTTCTCTTTAACTAGTACATAAATATTCCCTAGAAAGAATAAATAAATATTTCTCAATCAATTCATGTCTTTCGTACCAAAAGAAACCAAATTACAATGCCTATCCAATGTGAAATGAATGTAGGCATTTCGCAAGTGCCCTCGCAAGGCATTCAGAACTTATATTTGGTCCTTGCACCAAGCTACACTGGTTGAAATTTGTATGACACATATTATTTCCGCTCAAAATATAATCTGTTGATAATCCGATGGCTCTGTTAATTTTGATACACATCATTTTATTTTATTTTGTGCAGCCAAAACTTATCTTGGATTCTTGGTCTTAAATGGGTGCTCTTTACTTTTGTGTACAAATTAATTATTACTGATTTGTGAATTTTCTTGTCCTTCCGATTGTTTTTCTCTCGATTCCTTTTAGTGAAGTGCATGGCTTGCACTCTCTACACCTCATGAGAAAAGCTTGGTGAAAGTACAGTGAATGGTTTTTAGCACAAACAATTCAGAGCCAATTATCGAGGAGCTAGCCAGTCCAACACAGAAGGAACATTCAGAAACTTTGGAAAATCATATTGAAGATTATGATCCAGATATTGGTTAAATGTTCTCTGAGCAATTCTGGTCGGTATTTGAGCAGTATATGGATCATAATCTTCAATATCTTTTTCCAAAGTTTATGGATGTTCTTCCCGTGCTGGACTTGCTGGCTCCTCGATAATTGGGTTAGAGTTGTTAGTGTGAAAATCCTTTTGCTATGTACTTTCCTCATGACACAAATCAGGTAGTGAAATTTAGAGTGGGCATGCTACCACTCACTTCATCAAAAGGAATTGGGTAACGTAAGAAAATTCGGAAGAACTAAGAATTTCACGCAAACATAGGAGGGCCAAGTTAAGACCAAGAATCCGAGATAAGATTTAGTTGCACAATAAAATGAAACATGATGTTTGAAACAAATAGAACCAACTAATTAGCAGTTAGTTGTATTCTGAGTGAAACTAATATGTGTCACAAATCTCAATCAACATAAGGCAGTTTGGCGCAAGGATCGAATATAAGTTGTGAATGTCTTTTAAAGCCTACATTCACTTCTCATTGGACAAGCATTGCAATTTGGTTTGTTTTTGGTATATAACACCTGCATTGATGGTGGAAAAATATTAAGTTACCTTTTGACGGAATATTTATCTACTAGTATTATTATTATCTAAAAGAAGAATAATTATGTTGAGAATCTCCAGGTTACTCAATTGACCTTACATTCAACATTGCATTATTCATCGTCCCAATTCGTTCTTGTAAAAGATGCACTCCTGTACAAAGTTGTACTAGATTGGCCACACTTTCTTTGGGGCAGAGGGGGTTCGTACTGAAAATGTTAACGCTATATGTACCGCAGAAGTCATATCTAACAAATGTTCATTCCCACCACGCTGATTTCGATGACTCCCCGATGTGTTGCTTGATCTCCTCGCATTAGAAACAGATTACAAAGCTAAATCATTTTTATTTGGTGGTTGGGAAGGCTGCGGTGTAGGAGCATCTGCTGTTCTTAGAGTCACAGCCACTCTTGAAATCTGGAAGAAGTGATCTTGATACGAGAGAGCAGTTTGGAAAAATTATCCGTGTATATTGTATTTAGTGGAAAAATATAAGAGCCGTGCAGAGGGCAACCACGGAGGCTATTTTTAAGAATAGTAATACATTTTTCACTAATTCGATACATAATGCGCGATTCTGTAATAAACTGTTGACTTAGGCGATGCCGATTGGACTCTGTCGATCTCGACGAAGCCGATTAAGCTGATTGACCACTCGGCCTCAGCCTCAGGCATGAGCTTCAGTCAGTTTTAGCGAAACCAATAATTGGTTTCGTAGAGAGTGGCTCTCCTGAGGGAGGCTGCCCTCCACCATGGCGCCATCGTTCTATCTCAGGCAGAGGTCGAGTCATGGCGGCTTGATCTGTAAGTGCTTTGTCTGTGCCCAACTAGGGTTTGCTTCGGATGCTTTCTGAATTGGACCGGCAAGGATGGAACGGGGTGCCAAATGTTCCTTGCTCCAAGAGAAAAAATGGTTGCAGCTGCCGGTAACGTGTGGGGAGGGGCAGACTATTAATCCAACGTGCCCTGATCGGGCGGGGAGGGAGCTTCAATGTTTGCCTACGCCCGCCAATAACATGTTCATAAGCAGAGTACAGAAGTGACGTTCGTCTCTAGACTCCTCAGCAGCAAAGCGAATTAATGGGAGAATATCAGGTGCACCCACACCTTATATGCTATGGTGATATATACAAGCTCCTGTAGCTTTAGTTTTCATCTCTAATTAAATCAATCCTTTGTGACCATGTGTTCCCATTAGCAGAGAGGGGCACAAACCTCCATCCCAAATTCTCATGAGTAATCCACATCTCTTGTTTTTTTTAGAAAATGAAGTGTTTGGAGCAAAATACAACATTATGTTACTTTTTCATGCTAAGGTTAGCACGCATAATTTAGGACAAACATCATAAAAAAATCTTCTTCTTAAGAACAGGTTGATTTCCTGATTACATTCATGGAACCAATGTTTCAATACACAACATCAAGAAACAAAATAAGGATAATAGGCACGTAACTTATGGCTATTTTCGTAATAATGGACGTGTACCACCGAAAAGGATTGGGACTGTATGCCCCCTTCCATTTCACATCGGATACACCGAAAATCAAATGATTTTTATTCGCAATCTAGGTTCTTTTACACAATACACACACAAAAGCACTGCTGTGGAACCACCGGGTACTAACAACTCTTTCGAGGGTGTTTGCTTTTCTCGGTTTGGTGTGGTCAACTAAGTGGCCTGTGTTCATTTCAATTGGTCTTTCTCAGTTGCCTGGTTGCCAGTTCACTTCTGCTATCAATATGTCAGGATTAAACACCAATGCCACTCATACATGTCTTCTCTTTTTCAGCACTGTTTCCCAATAACTTCAGAGTTCAGAATTCAGAATGAGGCCCAGGCAGATGTTTGTGCACCCACAGAATGAGGGAGTGACAGGCCCAGAGAAGGAGGAGCAGCCGACCCACCTTGCTCGATAATTTCAAAGTGCACCAGGAGCTGCGTGATCAGCACGCCGGCGACGTACGACAGCCCCGACGAGCTCACAGCGACTGTCAGGTAGTACATTAGGGTCTTGAAGTATGTCCTGGGTGCTTCCTTGACATGCGCCTTTCCAAGTGCTAGCAGAGCGATGCAGGCGAGTGAAGCACCGGCGACGACCATCATCTTGTTCTCCCTGTCATTGCTCTCACGGAATGACAGACCGTAGAGGATTGGTGGAAGTAGCCCGAACACGATGTATGAGAGCAGGGCCAGGATCATGTGGAGTCGGGCTTTCGACCGCCTTCCGAGCTGCAACCAGTAGTGGCCGACGCGTTCGTTGTCCTCATTCACATCTCGAATGTCTCTTAGATCGGCAATCTGTTGTCGATGGGAAAGGAAGGATATGTTAGTTTTCTGAGTTTTCTGCAGTGATCAGTAAGAACAGTGTGACATTCAGTGTGCAGAGAAGTTTGTTACATTGTGGAAAATGAGAGGAAGCCCTCCCATAAGGTTGGCTATGCCCAAGATGAATATGTCCACTACAGGCAAGTGAAAAACAGAATTTAATTAGATGGAATAATATAAATATCAGTGTCAAAATAGTGCATTCATCATGTGTTTTTTTGTGCAAAGAATCCATCATGTAAATAAGTGAAAGTAAGTAGCTGACATGTTTTTGCTCCACTTGATGCTGCTGCTGAAACAACGGAGAGGCTGGTGACTGACTCCACTAAGCCACCATACACTATGGCTTTTGGTATATCCCAGTCATCACTCTGTTGGGGGCTAGGAGCAGCAGGATTCACATCTTCAGGGACTGACACTGCTACATAAGGTTGATCTTCTGCTTGAGGAATCGGCGAGGTTGGTAAATTGCCCCTCGCGGTAGTGGTCACATTCGGGCAATCGACCTTGAGTTCTGTTGTGTGACTTACATGAGTGGTAAATGAGCCATTCTCGAACGTTGTCGTCGTAGTTCCATGAACATCTGAAGAAATATAATTACTGTTATCAGGCTGCATCTCTGAATGACAGTAGTCCATGCATACTGCTCAGTTTATCAGGCCTACCTTCATGTCCATGTAGGTGGTGAGTTGCATCCATGATAACTCCATCGGCAGGCTTGAGGGGAGGCATGCCATCTGTCATCCATTCAATTACTTCTGTGTGAAAGATTCCTGCATGCCATGTTTCTATTGTCTGTTAATCTAGTTCACTACATTGACATAGTGATCCTAAATAAACTGTGATGATGGGAGGATTAATATGAAAACAAATGAAAGTTGGTAGCTTTGTAGCTAGCTCTTTGTCTCTCTTGTGTCTCGTACCTTTGTATTCATAGTTTGTTTTTAATTTATTGGTTACCATTAAAAAAATGTAGGTTGGTATGATTGATGGAACTCTGCTAACCCTTCTTTGGCATATTTTGCATTTCTATGCAAATATAGCCGTTGCCGCTTATTTTTGGAAAAGGAATCATCTGCAAGTTCATTAGAAAAATAAGAGAGAAGTGCATATTACACCTTCCAACTCTAGCCCTAGTCTAATATACACCCCTCAACTCCAATACCGTCTAGTTTACATCCCCCAACTCTCAAAACCAGGCGGAATTCAACCCTCGCCTCCTCGTTGACCGGCTTTGACCCAGTTGACCAGTTTTGACATGTTGACTGGGTGAATTCAAAAAAATATTTTGGTTTTTTCAACGGGTGAACAGTAAATTCAAAAAAGAGTTGGAAACAAAATTCAACAAGCAATTTTGATTTTTTACCAGGTGAATAGTAAATTCAAAAAATACTATTTTTTCAAAAAAATCCGAATTATTTTTGCGTGGACGATTACAGCGTGTGATGTCGGTGACAATTTTCAGCTTGTTTGGACATTTCAGTGGTCTCTCAACAAAAAATAATATCAGCCCAAACAGTACACGAACTGTTAACTACTCCCTCCGTCCATAATATAGGACGTTTTTTTACACTGGTGTAGTGTCAAAAAACGTCTTACATTATGGGACGAAGGGAGTATTTCATAGACGTCACTTTTTTTGCTGAGAGCTACTGTTCACCCGGTCAACATGTCAAAACGGTCAACGGGGAGGGGAGGGTTGAATTCTGCCTGGTTTTAAGAGTTGGGAGTGTAAATTAGATAGTATTGAAGTCAGAGGTTGTATATTAGACTAGGGCTAGAGTTGAAGGATGTAATATGCACTTCTCTCGAAAAATAATGATGCGCACCTGTAGAAGACGATGAGTGAGTTGTCGCTTCTGCTGATGTGGATTGTAGAGGATGTGGTCGCTGTTGCCGATGCGGTTGTAGTTGTGGTGGTTGTCGTGTTCTGATCTTCCGACGATGATTCGGTTATCGAATGCACTGGTTTTACAACTGTGCCATGACTATGATGAGCATATGTGCGAGATTCAATTTTAGTGGTTGTATCGTTGGAGTTCTGCATCTCGGACTGCAGTGGCATGATCACTGGATCTGGAATGTAGTAATAAATTGCTCAGCTGATGAAACAAAGCATCAATTGCAGATAAATTGGTCAGGAAAACATAAGTAACACACCTTCAGCAGCTTGGTTCTCCGAATATGATTCAACTGCCAAATGCTCTGGTTTCATTAAGCCTCGATGATCTACGGTACCATTTCCGCACGGACTAGCCAAGCGGTACGTCCAATCGCAGTGCCCGCACTTCCAAAGTCCTTCAGTAAAGCAACAGAAAGCAAGATTTACCAAAACGAACCCTTAAGTAAAGTAATGGAATGCTAATTTTAAGAGAGAGTTGGTGGCTAATCTCTCTTTTTTTAAAGGAGGATAACCCTGGCCTTTGCATCAGGATGATGCATACAATCATATATTATTAATAATGCAAAATCCAGCAGCCAGACACCATCGACCCGGAAATAAAGTGGAAAACAAACCCTGTGACCGTATACCTCACGACAGTACCTCTCCCAGATAGCCACTAATCCCTATGATACAAGACACAATATAAAACGAAAAATACACAACTTCTAAACTACGCCTTCAAGAAGGGATCGCCGCACGTGCGCCATTGATGGCGAGTCCACCACAAGGTTGAACTCCGGATTCTCATCCCCAAAGCCAAGCTTCAATCCACCACCTTCAGTAAGGACACGGTGCAGACACGTGATGACATAGTCTGATCAAAGATCTTGTGTTTTCACCGGAGTGCATAAGATCGTTGCTGAAGTCATATGTACCATCCACCCTTATCCGTCTACCAACACCTCGATAGCCAGATACCTCTGGAGGGGACAACGAAAGACAAAGACGTCCCATACCACCCGCCTCCCGCTACTGTCGCACCACCTTCGATCCGACAACAGCATGCTAAACATGACACCTCCGCCAGAGCCACCGAGCATCACCAGCTAGTAGCAGACATGAATTGACGTCTCCATATAATACGCCATGCGTAGCATCCGCCAGTATCACGTCCACTGGTGGCTTCACCTATCGGTGACAGGCACCACCCGACAATTCTGAAAAGGGCAAATGTGTCACCTACCGAGCCGCATCGAACATGATCTATTGATGGAGGGGACGTCCCATACCGCCACCAGCCTCAGAAGGCCATCACCACCTCGAGATCCAGATTCCGAATCGCCCACACGATCCCAGAGGCTGCCGTCGTTGAAGAAGAGGGGCCGCCGCCCCGATTATGGCCGCTACAGGGAGCACCCACCGTCGCACCAGCCGTTGTCGTCGTCCACAAAACAGCAACCGCCGTCGCGATCCCGCATCAAGCACTGTCAAAGCTGGATGAAGCACCGGCCGCCACACACGTCCTGCGATGTCCTGTGGGATCCCAAGATCTGCCGCCACCAGCGCCACCACTAGGACCCACCATCTGGCCCCTCATCCCCGGTAGAGGGGATGCCATCACCGCCATGTTCGGATCTGGGCCGGAATCGCCTCCGCCTCCGCCAAGACGGATCCGGGCCGGACGCCACCGCCACCGCCGGCGATGCCCAGTCCCACCTCCATCCTCTTGCCATCTGGCCTCGTACCATAACAAACGCCTCCAGCAAGAGCCACCGTGCCGCCACGGATCGAGAAAGAGGCCGCACCTCCACGGATCTGGCGCCCTCGCTGCCATACAGCCCGAGAAGGAGGAGCAGCCCTCCGCCGCGCCGTCGAACGCACGGGATCTGCCCGGCGTTGTCCGCCGGCGGCGGTGGAGTGGAAGGAGAGATGGGATCGCGGCGGCCGGGGTGCTAGGGTTGGCCCCCCGATCGCCCTGCAGGGGCGAGCGGCGACGGGGTATGGAGAGGGAAATATCCCATGAAAGAAAGCAAAGCAAAGCTTTCTGGTTCCATTTCATAACTCAAGGATAACTTGTAAGAAAGACTTTGCGGATCCAGGGAGCTTCTGAGTCGCCCTCGACATCTGCCATGGAAGGCCACATATCATCATTGAATTGCGTGGTCAGCAAAAGGTTTCCAATGATTCTGAGTGCGGCATAGATTAGATTTAGATGAGAGGGATGTCGGCACCTATCACTTTCACTGAGATTTTGTCTTTTTAGCATGTGTTTCCCGTGTCCTTTTTTGTCTGGTTTCTGAATAAGATCTCTAGGATACTGAATGCAATAATCACAAGGTAAAACTGAGGGAGCAGAGACAGCAGCAGTAAATTAAATTTGCTCACATTTTCACCATGCAGCTAGAGCTATTGCAAGATGACAAAGTTAGTTTTGCACAACACATATGGATTACTTTTTGGAAAAGGGTCCAACACACGAATTATTGCTTTCCAGAAATGGGCAAATTAAAGGAGAACAACCAGGTGGAGCCTCAACTCACTGCAACAGGAGTTCTTTCCTGCAGGAAAAAATAATGCAATCGAGGATTTTGGACCATCCAACTAAATCTCATTCTTCTTATATCGGAAAGTAGTGGCTACTCTCGGGTGTAGTACACCCGAGTTAGCAAAAGATTGAAAAAATGTGATCAAACATTGTCCAAAAAATCTAAACTTTTTTCAAAGTTTTTGCTAACTCGGGTGTAGTACACCCGAGTTAGCAAAAACTTTGAAAAAAGTTTATCAAACGAAATCCAAAAAATCTGAAATTTTGCTACATCAAACTTTATCATATGTTTGAGGTTCGTGTCAAGTTTCATCGAAAAATAACATCCGAGGAGCTCTCACCGAAAAAAACAAAATCGCTGCTGAAAGTTTTGTGCACTGTTTGAGCAGTGATTTTGTTATTTTTGGTGAGAGCTCCTCAAATGTTATATTTAGATGAAATTTTGCAAGGACCTCACACATCTGATAATGTTTTATGTCCCAAAAGTTTAGATTTTTTGGACAATGTTTGATCACATTTTTTCAATCTTTTGCTAACTCGGGTGTACTACACCCGAGAGTAGCCACTACTTTCCGTTTAAGAAAGACTTCGCCGACATGTGGAGCCATCATCTGCCATGGAAGGCTACATATGATTAATTTGAGTGGTCAGCAAAAGGTTTCCAAAGATTCTGAGTGAGACCTAGATTAGATGAGAGGGATGTTGGCATATATCACTGTCACTGAGATTTTGTCCTTTTTAGCATGCGTTTCGCGTGTCCTTTTTTGTCTGGTTTCTGACTAAGATCTCCAGTGCAATAATCACTGCATCCTGTTGATCCCTCCCAGGTAAATAAAACTGATTAGGGAGCAGAGACAGCAGCAGTAATTAAAATTCTCTACATTTTTCACCATCCAGACACTGCCTAAAGCTCTTACAAGATGACAAAGTTAGTTTTGTGCTGCACACATGGACTATGTTTTGGAGAATTATTGTTTTCTAGAAATGGACAAATTAAGGAATAAGAAGCAGATGGAGCCTGAAATAACTGCAGCAGGTGTTCTATCCTGCAGGAAAATAATGCAGCCTCCACATCCATCAAGAAATTAATTAATTAAGCAACCAATTAAATCCCATTCCGATCTTCTTCTTCTTCTTCTTCCCATGAGATGAAATTAATTAAGCAGGAGCAGATGGGTAAGAAACAGAGGTGTTACCTTTGGCTGCATCGAAGAAGATAGTCTGCTGCAGGTGCGACTTCTGCTCCTCTTCAGCAACCTTGGGCTCTTCAGGAGCCTCCTCCACCTTGTCCTCCTCCTCGGGAACAACCTTGAG